GTCGCCTGTAAAAATAACTGGAAGGTGTGATTTTTACGCGTTCAGAGCGGATCTCCTACCGCTCTGAGCGCATCTCAGTGTTCGCACGTAGTTTTTGTCAGTCGCTCTGAGGGGTTGTTGTTGAGCTCGAGCGAGATCGCGGACAATTCTATAAATTCGCGTGTTGGGTCAGATTTAGGAAACTTCTCAGATCTTCTTTTTGGTTGCTTAGGGTTTATATACTGGGGTTTACTTTGGGAGTTTCTTGTGTTTTTATTGGGAGTATTCAACTCATGAATCTAAAAGAGAGTACATCCAAAAGGTTGGTTTTGTTCTACAAAAGAGAGAGTTATTTTCAGTTGTGGATTCTGAGAATCAGCCTGAAGCTTTGGTGAATCCGAGTGGCTCATCAGAAAAGACAATCCGTTGGTGGAAGATGCGGGTGGAAGATGCACATAAAAGGTTGGTTCAATTAGCGTTGTGATTCGCTAGTAATTGAGAGTATACCTGTGTAATTCTTTAATTCTTCTTTAGTGGATTGTCTTGGCTTGCCCGTGGTTTGATCACAGTTGGAGGTTCCAATTGTGATTTTTTCCGACGTTAAAATCGTTGTGTCTCTGTCTTATTGTTTGATTGTTTGATTGGGATGTTATTGTTCTGCTTTAAAATTGATACATAATCACAAATCAACATCTAGAGGATTTCTAGATTTGTTCAATACCAAACCATCACATATCTCATAAACACTAGTCAAGTATTCTGTAGCCCAATACCTTTTTGTCATAACCAAACATTCAACATACTCATAACCACTAATCACATATCTTATTAATTAACACATTTTTTACTCATAAGCCACACACTTTGATCATAACCAAAATCACATTATCTCATAAATACTAGTTACATTCTAATAACCAACATCACATATCTCATAACCACTAGTTACTAAAAATATCTTATAACTGCATAACCATGTAATTACAATAGGCATAACAGCATCCTTTGACACCACTTTGTTCATAATCATTACCCAATATTTCTCATAACCACTAAACATATAGGCTAACTAAACACCCTTGGACATCAGCATTTGCTCAATTAACCATTACTCACATAATCTCAATAACACTTAACACATATACCATATATCTTCATAACCACTAAACACATATAGCATAACCAAATACCCTTTGACACACTTTACTCATACCGATACCCACATATTTCATAACACAAACATATAGCATAATTCAAACACCTTTTGACAACCACTTTGCTGTATAACCATTACCCACATATCTCATAACCACTACAGCCATATGCATTAACAAACACTCTTGACACCACTTTACTCATAACCATTACCCAATATCCTAAACCAAACATCAATTATATCATAACTACTAATCAATATCTCATAACCAAACACCCTTTGACTTGTTAACTATACCATTCTTGCTCATAACCGAGAATCGCATATCTTAAATCACAGATTATAGTATCTCATTACTTTACCACATATGTTATAAACCACATCTCATTTTGTTTTGGTTTTTTTTTTAACCAGCACCCTTTGTTTCATAATCAATATCACATATTATCTAACCACTAATCATATATTCTTCATAACCACTACCCACATATGAGGGTGTTAAAATTTGGCCCACGAGCTTGCGGCACACCCCAAGTGCTACTCGGTGTCTAGATAGCCCAACCGAGGCTCGAGGCTAGAACCCAACCTAAGATATGTGTTCTAGAGCCGGCCCGACCTTGTGTTTATGGAGTGTGTACCCTCTCGTGAGCTCGTCCCGAAATTTTCTTCCCCCATCTGGCTCGACCCATCCCCAATGGTTCCCTACCCCCTTTGTCAGTCAATGGTAAAAAACTTTAAATCAAAACAATTGAAGACCATATAACCGTTAATTCCACCAACAATCAATTTTTATTTTATTTTTTATTTATATATATTATATATATATAAATTAATCCTCCCTCCCAAGTCCTATTTATAACCACCCTCTCAACATTTTAATTTCTCAACAAACCAAAGTCAAATGGTGTTTGGTTATGAGATATGTGATTAGTAGTTATGATATATGTGATGTTGGTTATGATATGTGATTGAGTCTGTCTCTCAAACTCTCATTATCTCTAAACTCTCAACTCTCTCAATTAATTTTGAAGTGTCATCCCTAAGTGACAATTGCAATTGATCACCTATCTCTATTTTAGATTTATTTTTAGTCATAGTATCTTCATTAAATATAATAGAAATAGTAATGTACATACGATATACTTTTTAAAATATCTATATACACTTATAGACGCTTATAATTTAACTAAATTTTAATAAAAAATATGCTGATAAAAATTATCTATGACGTGATTTTATTTTGTTGCACTAAATAATTTTTCTCCTAAATTTTTTTCCCAACTTTTCTTCATTTTTTTCTCCACTCAATTTTCTTTCTCTTGATTTGTCCTAGTTGTGCCTGAGCTCTCTCTATTTCTTAATCAGACTTCTCTATTTCGCTGAATCATCGAACGACCATCGTTGATAGTTCTTCCTCACTGGATTCTTCTTCTCTATACTCTTGTGTCTCTGCAATAGATCCTTGAACTCGTCACTATTTTCTTTGTCTATTTCAACACTATTCATTTTGGTGACATTTCTTTATCTAGTAAATACATTTATCTCAAAACTCTGGCTCTTTCACATTAATATGTCATACATATACAAACCTTTGGCCGTAGTTATGTTTTTATCAATTTGTACATATGTTATAGAACTGCTGGGATATTTTTTTCAATTAAATTTTTGGGATATTTACCGATAAATCCCATCCAACAGACAGTTGCACCAATTGGTCCCAACGTTGCATCTGTTGTTCTAATTAGTCCTATGGGCATTGCTTCCGACCCCCAGTGGCACCCCTAGTGACGTGGCAGCGTGTGGTTGGCTGAAATCCAAAAAAAAAAAACTATTTTTGCACCAATTAGGGACGACCCCCAGCACCCCCAGCTGGGGGTCTAAGTCATTTTCCTTAGTCCTATTAGTGGGGAAATATCTTCCCGTTTGATCCTATTTCTCTTATTTGGTAACATTTACTGGTCAATTATACCCTTCTTTTTCTATTAGGATGTTTTTGGTGGGATTAGTTGTGCATATTTGGCAAGTCAAAAATTGTAGTAGAAGATGTTTCCTCCATTACGTTAGGGTTTTGTGATTGTTGTGACGGGGTGTGTGGGAGGTGCTTTGTGTGCCGGAATTCCGCTGTCGACATTCTTGGAATTCTGAAGGCATGGTTTGTTTTTGGTGATTGCGTGCTAGGATAGCTATATTGCGTACATATGTCAGTTCAATTGTATGGTGTGCCACACCGAGGTCATTTGTCTGTGTTGGGCACATTCGTATTCAATGTTTTTATTGGGTTCATGTGTTTAAATCAGTGTGTGTGGTGCCACATTGGGGTCATTCATTTTAAATGGGTTGTTTCAGTTCAATGCAAAAAGTACAACAAGCCTTAGTGTACTTACCAATGTTGTGGCACCCAACAAACACCCTGAGCATGCCACGTGGCGAGCCATACTCCAAACCTCTAACACACGGGTTGTGGCAGGTGACCAACACCTATTCCAAAAACATAATACAACACCAAATAACACGGACACACGCGTAATCAACAATCTGGGTCTTTCGCGAATGTGGGCTTTATTCACAAGGATTTGCACAATTATATTCAAGCCGAGCGCAAAATAGAAATGAAGGATAGTGACGCGGAGTGTGCTTTGGCTTACTTATGTGCAAAAGCTGATGCTAACCCTTATTTCTTTTACAAGTATGACAAGGATCAAGAGAACCGGCTTGGCAAATTGTTTTGGGCAGATTCAAGGTCTCGCCTAGACTATGCTGCATTTGGTGACGTGTTGGTCTTTGATACGACTTATAAAACGAATGCATATAACAAACCTTTTGTTATTTTCATCGGGGTCAATAACCATTTTGAAACCACCATATTTGCATGCAACTTGCTTGTTGATGAGACAATTTCAACATACACATGGGTTTTGCAGAAGTTGTTAGAAACCATGGATAACAAAAGACCGGTGTCAGTGTTGATAGATGGGGATATGGCCATGCGTGAGGCAATACAAAAAGTCTTTCCAAATGCCAAGCATCGTCTATGTAATTGGCATATACATAGAAATGCCAAGCGAAATGTTCAAGTCGATGGATTTGAAGGACATTTCAAGCATCTCATGGATCTTGATGCGAATGAAGTTGTATTTGAGGAAGCTTGGAGTAAGATGGTCAGAAAATATGGCCTTCAAAATAACAAGTGGGTATCAAACACTTACAACAACAAAGGCATGTGGGCTCAGTCATATTTGCGTGGTCATTTTTTTGCTGGAATGAAGAGCAGTCAGCGTTGTGAGGGTTTGCATGCTTTTTTCAATGAGTGCCTCAAATGAAAACTGAAACTATTCGAATTTGTTAGATGTTTTGACATGGCCCTTTATCGATTACGGAACAAAGAAGCGGATGCCGAGGCAAAAACTGACAACAATGATCCTTGTCTTACCACAACACTTCAGCCTCTAGAGAAACATGCAGCAACCATCTTTACCAGACGTTTGTTCTTAATGTTCCGTAATGAAATAATTGAGGAAGCATTGTTGATTTTTGATGGAATGAAAGAGGAGTTCGATCATCGCATATACAAATTTTCAAAGTACACTGAATTTGATTCCACATGGGAAGTGTCATACCATCCCGCAACTAGCATAATGAAATGTAGTTGCAAAAAGTTTGAGTTCCTTGGACTTCCTTGTAGCCACATGATTTCTGTGATGAAATGCGAACACATGATTGAAATTCTCCCAAGTTGTGTGATGTATCGTTGGACAAAGCAAGCAAGAAAGGTTGGTGAACAACATTGCCAAGCCCAATTCTCTAGCACTCTCACACAGGAGACGCATTTTGGGGAACTTTGCTCTTCTTTTGATGCATCGTTGGACAAAGCAAACAAGAAAGGTTGGTGAACAACATTGCCAAGCCCAATTCTCTAGCACTCTCACACGGGAGACGCGTTTTGGGGTACTTTGCTCTTCTTTTACTGAAATGTGTTACTATGCCTCACAAACATCTGAAGGATTTGAAGAGGCTAGGAATGCATTTTTCACTATGACATGTCGGGTGAAGCAGCTTTGCATGGCCAAGGGAACTAATGTTGATGAAGGAAAAAGTTCACTGCCGCCATTTGGGGTTGGGGATTCAAAAGTAGTGAACACGAAGGGGAATACTGGGGGATCCTACATGGCTAAACCTCGAAAGCCAAGGCGATGCCAGTGTTGCAGGTATACATTATATTGTGCTTTGTGTCTTAATTTTGTTATTGTGAGGTAGTGTTGACATTTTTGTTCTCTTTAATGATTGGTGATTTAGTTGACAATGTAGGGTCGTCGGCCACACAAGGAGAACTTGCCCCCAAAACGATCATAAAACGGGACAAGTGGGTAGCAATTTGTTTGAGGAATAGGATGATTATGATCCAATTGGTACTCTCACCCCTTTTACACCGAAGCGTCCTAGGAATAATATTAGGCCATGTAAGACCTACCCTGTGAAGAGACGACTTTTTGTCACTAATGTGGATACGTCTCCAGTGTAGTTGAGCAAGGATGTTAATGACTTGCGTAGTTGCCATGCACAAGTCGTCCAAAATTCAGCGTTCATTGATGCGGATACGTCTCTAGGTGATTACTTTTATGGCATCTTTTCAGTTCAAACTATGTTCATTTTGCTTACATTTGCTTTGCAAATTTTATGTGGCTGCTTAATTCTAATTTCTTGATATGCCAAGATAGATTTTAGCTAGAACATTTTGATGTCATAACTAATTATGATGTTTACAACTTGATTATGAAAATAAATAATTTACGAAAACAAAATGACAAAAGAGTGTGTAATGACCAATATATCAAAATTCAATTTGTTATGATTTGAATCATAAATTTCAAGTGAACAAACCTTAACGACAATTTAATTTGTTTTTGCAGGTGTTGCTATGGGTAATAGTTGATATGATCGAGCAGGTGATATTGGAGCTAAACTAAGATTTTTTTTAAAATT